CCTGATATTTGTGTCATATAATTTTTGTACAATACTTCCCAACGCTAAGCAACAATGTGTTTGTACAACAGTTTGACTGTCTGCCCTGGTAAAAAAAACAGCACGTATCTTTTAATGTTGTTATTTCGCGGCTCCATTTTCGGAGCATGTATAAAAATGGTGTAAAAGGGAGGGTGTATCTCGCTACCTGGTACTTTCCCCAAAGGATATCCCCATGCAAAAGGTTACAGCAACGTATACAAACTAGTAATTTAGCTTGCATGTAGGTACACATAAATTTTTAATACGGCAACTTTTACTTTGCAGTATTAGATATACTAAAGTGGTGTACCTACAAGCTAAATTACTTACCGAATGTTACCATGCAAACATACAAGAATAGTATACAAAATAGCTATTGAAAACATCAAAATCTAATATACTTTGCCTGTCCTGACATTCTCGTCTGCAATACTTCAAGCACTTGTTTGAAACGCTCAAATTCAGCATCAATTAGGCATGGTGTGATTTGAGCCAATGCAATGGCAGCTGCAGCTTGAGCTAACAATGTTGTGGATGAAACCTGCATGTTTAAAATGGACGTTATTTCAGCTATAAAAAGCAACACCCGAGATCTGGAAGCCATGACTATATATACTCAAATTATGTATACTTTATCATATTTTACATAGTTTTTCGATTTATCACAATGAAAATAGCTCGATACACTATATCAATAGCAAGAATAGGCAGATGATAGCACAACTCGAACTAAGAAAAGCCTGATAAAATTCTTATGCAGCTATCTATTCTTCATTTGTTTATTATATTTGATATACTACCAGAAAATTCACTCGTTTCCATGCACAATCAATTTTACTGTTTTAGTCATTCGTTACTCTCTTACTAACTTAATTAGTAAAAGTGTGGTTCCGATAACACCAGCTGCAATATCCCATAGCTGTTATATCCGATATGAAGTTGTTTGGGAGGCATTAGCCTCCTCCGCAGAAATCTCTTATGTATTTATATTAGATATATTAGGCATGGGTTAGCTGTGTAGAGAGGCCTCCGGAGGAGGCTAGGGAGGCACGAGTTGGACAAAATTTCCAGCTAACACAATTGCACAGGAAATGTTTCTTTACTTCTATCCCAGCTATGGTGCTAAAGTTAAAGTTTTAAGTTGGCGGACGTGAATAAAGCCTAAAGTGAATTTTAGAAACAAAAAATATAATAAACAGATTTAAAACCTTTAAAATACGTTTTTAAATAGTTTTACGAATTCTGTCATATATCTTAGATAATAGAAGCCTTATAATAGAAGCCTTATAATATATGGCTTTAAAATACTTCTAACTGAAAAAAAAAACGTTTAAAAGAGGCGTAACCAAGTTTCCAGACAACATAACAATGTGCAGTATTTCTATTTTTAATTTTTCACTCTTACCTGCTTTCCCCAAGACAGTGGAACCCCAACTGTTTTTAATTTTCTGTCAAGTGTAACTATCAATGTGTCCGCGACACACGCAATCCACTCCTCGGTGCTAATACAACCTTCACGCTTGTAGTTTGCCAGCAGTTCCTGATTAGTCGTGACATCATCGCTTGTGCGAACGAAGACAGCATTTGCCAAAGCAGCCAATGCTAACAAGGAATTGCAATGCATAATTTGGCTACCTCTATAATTATATGAAAACCAAAATACCTGCGGTTAGAATGTAACAAGGTATACCGGAACTAGGGAAGCCAGTGGGAGGCCACTGTCTTGGTTCTTTTTATCAGGCGGGTCATGTCGCAGCTTTCGGAAGCTTTCGTTCAATTGGATAATGCTTTTCTATGCTTTCTAAAGAACGAAGCTATTCTATTGGTTGAAACAGAAATGTATTGTGAAGTCCAGCCAATGAAAATCATTCTTACGAGAAGCTGCAAAACTACCCTATTAGGCGGGAAGTGTGCGGCGGGAGATGCCCTTTCAATTCATTGTAAAAATTTTCCATATGATGTAATTTGTTGATTTGGTTCGTAAAACAATAGCATACAAATGCAAGGGTAGCTTAACTGTATGGCAAAGACCACTGATGTTTTACTTCATTATCGTATGTATCATGTGCCCTGGCGCCTAAATCTGCTTCCAGCCTCTGTCAAGTTGTTAACTTTTTGACGCAACCATATAGGCGTGACTAAACGCCCCGCTATTGGCGGAGTGATGTTACTGAGTGGAAGCAGTTAGGCTTTAGGTGCGTGATTGCATGCATGATGATGCATGATGAATACAATTTTTGCCATGGAGTTTACTTTGGTATTAATCAAGGTATGTATAAATCAAGGATTTTAATCACCTATACATTTCATGCATAATTAGGACAGCATAAAATATAAGAAGATAGCGGCCAATGCATGAATAAAGACTAATTATAAAGTACCCGGAATTTGAAAGCAGACTTTTTAATTAATAATATTATTTCCTTACTTTGATGCAGCCTTGAGAAGATCTGTTAATGCATCTCTGGTCCTAAGAATTGGAGCAAAAATCTGATTTTCATTCGGAACTATTGCCGTGCAATCACTTCACCAAAGAATCTTAACCCTTATTATATCAATTTCTCGCTAAAATAATTTTGTCCGGATATTTGATTATTTGATTGATTGCATATAAAGCATATAATATGATAAGCTTACCAGAACGATGCATTCTTCAAGCCTTCGTTATATGCCTTCTCGTCAATTTGTCCGCGTTCATTCTGTAGTTCTAACTCGGCTCTCCGTCCCTAATAAGAGTAAAGGTATAAGTTTACTTCAGGTAAACAATGAAATAAATACAGTAGTCCCTCAACATTACATATGCGTTAATTATCCATGCGTTTACATCTCGTGTAAAACACAACATGACATTGTTTTTTAACGCATGTGTATGTTTTGCTTGGGATAAAAATTTCGAAACATATATACAGGCAACAAAAATTGCATGAGTGAAAGATTCTCCAGTTTGCAGGGCAATATTTTCGTTGATTTAGTCACGCACTATATTTTGGTAAGAATTAATGCTTTACTCCAAATCCATCGTGGACTTCTAACAGGAACAACAAGAAAATATTATATTGAGAGCCTTAACACACTGAAAAATTATTCTGGCGTCAAGGTAACTAGTTGCTTCCTTTCGGTACTTTTCACTTATATCAGCTTGTTTCATGTATCGCGCAGCGGTACAAATTGCGGTTCAATCGTCGGAACCTATTATATTTTGTCAGTTTATTATTACTATAATCCTTTGGTATAGGCACTATTATTTCATATCAAAGTTCATTTAACAGTAATTATGCTAGGTATGTTAAATTTTGATTGATAGGCAGTGCGCAAGGCTAAAGAATTTCTAAATGTAGAATGTCCAGCATGTCCAGGATTGAGCAAAATAAGAATGCTCTGCGGTATAGAACATATACAAACTCGAAAACATCTTCGCAAGCTCAAAGACGTCTTGTCAAATGAAGACTTCGTACCCATTAAATTGATGTTCACAAAATGTAAGATATAAAATAAAATCTAACGTTGTCTATACACTAATACCACCATCATGTCGCATTTTTAAATTGTTAGCAGCAAGAACATCTCGTGCTATTTGGTGATGTGAAAGTGCGATTAAACTATAGGCAGCCTAACTTTTCTTTTTTATCACAGATGCTTTATTCATACCTGAACATAAGAATCAAAAACTCGATTCATAAACAAAGTCCAAGCATGAGAAATTTCAATATTTGACCGCCAATCAGAAGAATTGACAGGAACCTTTAGGAATATAGAAAGTGCAGAAACTATGATTAAAGAATGATTGATGACAAAAGGCCGATGCGAGAAGAAAATAGCAGGGTAACAATGGTAGGCAATGAAAAAAAATCCATACATATATACGTACATCTTGAACCAACTGATTAATCAGTTGACGATATAATTTAATATTGTTTACAACTTGACTTCTTATTGGTTTACCGGATCTCTTCTCGGCATGAATTTCATAAGAATACAACAAAGATACTAGAAACAAAATGCATTGCATATGCAAAACAATCTACTTTGTGTATATTACGCAGAACGATATCGACGAAGCTAGTTCAGACATCCTGACATATAATATGGGATATGAAATCATGGGATACATAATTATATATAGGTAGCACTGTTTTAAATTTTTTCAACAACTATAATAGAGGGTTACAAATTATTATATTGTTCTCTTGAGTGTTGTTGGCTACACTCTGTCAAATCCCTCAAATCACTTTAGCAAGATTTCCAGTCTAGATAAAACCAGTTTTTCATATTTGCACAACCGCGATTGCATGCCATTACGAGATATTCTCACGGCCAAAATTTCCATACGATTTCACACGATGGCGTATAAGAAGTCGCATTTTTTTCGCCTATTTGTTGGCTTGAATCTTCGCGGGCAATTAAAGTCCTCGTGGATAATGTAGAAAAATTAGCAAGTGACAACGATACCCTGATGCAGACAAGTTAAAAATTATTATTTTACCCTGCTAATTATACGTTAACCGTAGGATTCAAACGGCAAAAGCAATCTATTCGTTTTGCTTCGACGTTTTTGTCGCATTCGTTCGCTTAAAACCAGGTAGCATCGTTCATTGTTTACAAATGAGGACCGCTTCAAATGGAATGTATTTGCTGTTCTCTCTCTCGGCTTATATGCTTTAGTTACGCTAAAACGAGGCTGTAAGGGCCAAAACATTGATCCTCGTTTTCGTTGTAAAATTTTCTCCGAAATTTTGATCAAAATAAAGAAAACATACAGATGTTAAAGAAGGATGTTTTGCATCCGTTCACATGACTCATAAGAATAAAACTTAAAATCCATTTTAAACAACGACGTCTAGTTGACTTAATTACACGAATGGTCCAAGATAATGATAAAAAATTCTATACCTGCAATTGAGGACTTTAGAGATGGTTGTTTGCATTTGTCGTATTGTTTTTTCAGTTGTTCGGGAATAGAGGACATTGATTTGTTTTCGCTAGCTTGAACTGCTTTCATTCTTGCTATGTTCCACGCCTCGTGGAAGGTTTGAGATTTCCTGGCTACAATGCTTTTCAAAAACTCTTCCAAACCTAAAGAGAAGTGCACAATATTGCAACAATAATATAACTTTAATAAACTTCACAGGCGACAGATAAAACACTGCATGGCAGATTAGTTGCATAAACAACAGCAATTGCCTGTATAGCGCTGTTATGCAAGGCCTCGCTGCCAATGACGGTTTCATCAGAAAGCTAAGCATCACTAAGATATAAACTTTAAGGGATTTTTTTCACTACTTCGCAGAGCTTCAAACCTTAAAAAATACGTTAAGTTTAGTTGACATTATCTCGAATGCATTGACCTAAAAGTGTTACCTTGATAACAACAAGGGAAGATTACTTTTCTCTGCAAGAGCTCTACATAAAAATATGCAGGAATCGGTAGAGTTTCGATGTCCATTTCTTTCTCATTTTGTAAACACTCTTCCATCATTTTCTTAATCTTTGGTGTTAAGAGAAGACGCTGGGTAACTGTCTGACGAGTCTAACGAAAACATAGTGTAACATTTAGTAATGCATGTAAAGCATTTTAAATTTTGTCTCTCTCATGAAAATGGCGTTACATTTCACTCATGCAGCCAAAGATTCAATTTGATTCAAGTCCAGACATGGTTCTTTTTCAATTTTACTATGGGCAGTAAAAAGCAAGATAGGAGGTAGGCTGTCTTAATTTTAAGTAGAGACTGGGCGATCGAGGGCAAAAAAAAACCTCATTTGTTTTTTTGTATCATTTGTTTTCCATCGTAATTATCGCTACTCTGGTTTTAGTAAATGAAAGTAATCACCACACAAAGATTAACTTTCACGACCCAACGTTTCGACACTCCGGTCTAGTGTCTTCATCTGGGGTGATCTGATGTTGAAACTCGGTTCCTTATATACTCTCAAAATGACGTCATCTATTAATCAGATGTAAATATTCTTTTGGCAAATAGCTTCCGTCATCCCCATTAAGGGCACAAAGACTCGCATTAATATGCCAGGCTTCCAAACAACGCCTATGTCCATAACAAACCTCATTGTTTTTTTCAGTTAAAACAAATTCCTTCTTGTTTAATTAATTGTCCGAGTTCGACTGAATTAACCGTTGCATGGTGCGGTATACGCCGTGAAAATGATTCAATCACATATACAAGTCTCGCTAAAACTAACCTGCTTTGGAAGGTGTCTTATTAAAAAATCTTTAATTTCAAATTTTGACAAAGCTTTGTACGATGCATCTGATATGTCTTCATTCTACAAAACGAAATTCTTTTAGAATGAGCAGATACCCTAGATTTAACAAACTTCATATATAAACGGAGATATCAAAATACCGAAGGATGACTAAAAATATATATATCTCTTTACAAAAAGTATTAACACTAGTTGTTAGCAATTATCCATGAGAAAAAACACTGTCAAATCATGTGCGTTTCCGTACATAATTTTGATGCATATCTGTTCGAAAAATGCATGCTATCTTGAATTTTAATAGAAGGTGTTCTTGTGAGTGTAGAACGGTTATATACCTCATGCTCTGAATATCTCCAGAGAAACAACAATACGTTTTCTTTGAAATTCTAAACGAAATACAGGAATAAACATCAGGCATTTATTCCGAAACCACTACAGGGTGTATAAAAAAAAGGAGACCTTTAGAAATCAAGCTATTGTTAAAATTTGAATGCCTTTTCAATTGCATTTGCACATATGCTGAACCGTAGTGCGTTAAATATTTATGGCATATCCATGCATGCATACATTAGAAAATGAATTGACGTTTGTAGTACACAAGATTGTCTGCTCCTAGGAATTTGAAAATAACTTTAATAGCATAAGGAAAAATAACGACCCAAAAATATTCAAATGACTAAGCACACTACCAGAACAAAAATGGTTCAACTCACTTCGGAGCAAAGACTTTTTGCAGTCTTAACTTATACCCAGCCTGCCGTCATCAGAAAAGCAGTTCGCGATATGCACAAGCGTACGGTAGTTTGTGTTGAGAGAAATTGAGGCCACGTTGGAGGTCATGGTCCATGACATTCAGTTCTTTTTATGTTCAATTTATCAGTAATTTTTAATCCGGATCGAAATGTCAAGTGAATCTGTGTCAGATCAAGTTGTAATTCATTCCTGACTCATGTAAACATTTTAATAGGCAGAGTTTGTAAAATGGGATGCTGAGCCATTACGGATTCAAAGACAATTCTAAATGTATTTATTATTAAATAATAAAGGAAGTTAATGTTATACGGGTCTTCGTATCGTAGTATCTCGGGTCTTAGGACGCTTGTCCGGTCGGCTACTTGCCCCCTCCGGTGAGTATAAATATGAGCCCAGTTTGCCTGATCGAGTTGTTAGTTGCTTGCGTGACCCATCCCTCCCTTTCCCTAACGACTTCACGCGATGTTGTGAACTATACGGGGGAAGCGTCTTATTAATCTCGCTGGGGTTTTTTTTTTGTTAGTTTGTTTTGCAGGATTAAGCACAGTTCTTTTCACACCCGTTTTGGTCGTGGAATTGGTGTTTGGGGTAAAGGTAAATTCATTAATGATCGCCACATTTACAGGTATTTTTTTTTGTGTGTGTGTACTTTGATGTTCGTATCGTTTATTCCACGGTTTCACTTCAGTGACTCACGTGTGACAGTTGATCACGGGATGGAGGAGGTACCGTTAAAATAGCATGGTTCGTTGAGTTATTATCTGCGCCGAAAACAGCAAACTCAAAAGAAACACCGTTTCACCCCTAGCCCGATCGTTTCGCTCGGATACCGTCTCCATCCCTACCGATCGGCAGCGGGCAATAATATAGTGTAAGTGCTGGTGTGCTATCGTACTGATGTGAGCCTTAGGATCCGTTAGAACGTTAACTCATGTGAACAGCCCTAATGCTCCCACGCAGTGTTAAAATATAATGAACAAATGATTTGTTCATGTTTTGAAGGAACAGCTAAAGCAATTTACCACGCATACTGTTATCGCTTTTGTGCTTAGTCATTTGTGCTTAGTCATTTGAATATTTTTGGGTCGTTATTCTTCCTTATGCTTTTTAAAGTTATTTTCAAATTCCCAGGAGAAGACAATCTTGTGTACAAACGTCAATTCATTTTCTAAAGGTCTCCTTTTTGTAATGTATGCATGCATGCCATCAATATTTCACGCACTACGGTTTAGCATATGTGCAAATGCAATTGAAAAAGCATTCAAATTTTAACAATAGCTTGATTTCTAAAGGTCTCCTTTTTTTTATACACCCTGTATAGTTACAGAGTAATAATTCAACAAAATTACGCATGCGCAAAACTGGAAAAACCTCTAAATTGACGCTCTCCATTCTGGAGGACTCCAGCGGCTAATTGGATTTCGTGCAGGAATATATATATATATATATATATATATATATATATATATATATATATATATATATATATATATATATATATATATATATATATATATATATATTTATATCAAAATATTTCTAAATTTATTCCTATCAAGAAAATTTGCAAACCTCCAACAAAGTAGATTCGTGAATTCAATTGGAAAAGCTATTATGTAGTGCGTAGATTAACATCAGTGTAAGGGAACCTCTCTATATAGCACTAACCTCATATTGCTTTGAATCAACAACCGATGACGGCACGAGAGAAAACAAATCACACAGGCAACGCAGGACCATTGGGTTAGAATGATGCTCCAATTTAGCCTTAAAAACCTCCCAAATCGTTGCCAAATTTATAACCTATACGAGGTAATTATATCCACTGAATTCATTAATACAGCGAGAGTATGAGGGGTGTGAAAAGAGATCACTACGATTGCCTCCAAGAAGAATATTGCACACTCTATATATAAAAAGAGTTCTCTAATTTAGCTCTTCGAAAGCAAAAACAAGAATTATGATGATAAGTTTACTCTTCCGTGAAGCTACTTTTCACGTGATAAACAAATTGTCATAAGGAATTTTTAGAAAAATAACAATAATATTAAAACGAAAAAGAGTGCTTTCTCGTGTATGAGCATATGCATAGAAATTTTGTTCATGTTAAATTTGGCTTTTGTAATTAATAAATAGTTTTAACGCATGGTCGCACTTGACCCTTACCTCTGCTGCAACCAAAGTTTCCAGGGAATCCAAAGCAAGACAAACTAATACAATATTCACTTTCGAATTCTTATCAGCATTTTCATTAATAATCGCATCAATCATGCCAACGAGATCTTCCGCGTGTTGAAAAGGTCTAAAAATACAATCATACAGATTTCCAGGCTGACTTACCAAAATAATGCTAAAACGTTTTCCAGGCCAGCCCAAAAAAAACTATACAAAAAGACGAATTTGGAGCTATATCGGCACCTGTTACCCCCATCGACCACTGCGCTCGTACACAAAAGCTGTTGCTTAGCTCGTCCACTGTACTTACACTGGCAGCCCCCAAATTTTTAAACCTTTGTACACCGGTTACAAATGTTCCGGTTATGGAACATGGAGAAATTTCGTATTAGATCAATCAGCAATTTATTTACACTTTCTGTAACCCAAATAGAATTGACTATATTTCCGGTCAAAAAGCACATTATTCACCTGGTTATATGCGTATCAAATATTCAGGCATTCTAATTGGCTTTGCCTCAAATTCCTCATTTTTCATTTATGGGGGAACGACAGATGCGTTGACACTGGAAGTTTTTAAACCACTTTGCCTGATTCTGAAATAACAGTTACCATCTCTGGATCTAACCCGCCCATAGTAGATTATTCCCCAGGGATTATTCTAGGCTGGATTTCTAGGATTCTAGGCCAATTTCTTTTAAATTCGCTCTGCAGTAATCTCGCGAGTCTGGAGGTAAAGTCCCGCGAATTTGGCTTCACAAAAAACAATAGGAGGTATCGTTCCAGTGATTTATTAGATTTCAAAGATATATACTGCATACGTTATAGGTTAAACTTTGTTGTCATGCAGAGCATTTTAACAACCAAAAGTGGCAGAACACAGTGCTGTTCTGATAACCAACTTGCGAACCGTAATTTTTCACTAACAAGTAATTAATCCTGGCGACAATTTGAAGAAATTAAACCATAAACAAACCTTTCTCTACAGATATCCCTTATTGTCACAGCTTTAGCCAGTTGAAGTTCGGCCCAGGACTCCGGGTTTAAAGATAGTGTCTTTTCTTGAAGCATGGGGTGCAGATGCTTAAAAACTCGTGGTTGGGACATCCAAAGTTTAAACATTAATCTAAGAGTAATTGCTTTGAGTTCGGAATTGTTGTTAAGAACCAGCAATATACCCAAGACTTGTTTTACGCAAACCTATATATCGATAAAAAACGTCACGTTAATACGTACGAGTTTTCCCGCCTGAGAAAGGTGAGCTAACTTTCAAATTAAATTGCATTTAATCAGAACCATGCACTATGCAAAAGTAAGGCTAAAACTTAACAGCTGCCGTCAAAAAACAAGGTCGATCTTCAGGCCTACGCGAGTTTAATTATATCCAAATTGCAAGAGCCCTGAAGCCGATATGACAGCAGAATAACTGAGAGTTGTTTTAAGGAGTTCGAATTCACAGACGCAGTTCACTGACGTCATAATTCCTAAAGGTTGTACTCCAGGGCCCGGTTATACGTAAGCTGCATAACATTATCCACCGGATAGTAATTTTTTCAATCGCTTTAAAATTGCTCGTTGTTGGGTGAAATATGGCTTGAAACATTGGTCACTTTAAATAATGAACTTTTAGAAAAATCACTATTACGCTGGATAGCTTTATCGTAACTGGCCCTGGATGCTTCATTGTCTCACTAAAAGAATTGTAATGTGAGCGGTGTTAGCTTACGTGTTTTTTGCGAACAGACATGCAGTAGCCTGACCATGCAGCCTGGCGATTTGTCCCGCTACGCTAATATTTCGGTGTTCATTGACTGTGAAAACAATAAATTTCTAAAGACATGAATAGTTAAAATAACTCGAAATTTAATGGCGGGACAAAATCGCAAAACTGGCTACGCGACTGCCAACAGACTATTGCCATATTGATATTTGTCAAGTTAGACTATATGTTCATTTCTCCTCAGTAGTTCGTAAATAAGATTGTTTTAATTGATAAAATCTGGTGGTTAATGTGTACATGATGGTATAGATTTATTCTATATATTTTAACAAACCTTATGGGTCGCAAGTTTAGGAATGGTCTGAAGCAAATGAAATTTCTCTTCTGGTGTTGAGCATCTTTCCATTTTAAAAAGCATCAATGGAAAAAAGTACGGTGCCTATGAACGGGGATTATAAAAAGTTGTTTACTCTAGATCGGGTTGGTAGATTTTCTGAATAAAAATATATAACCAAATATTATTAACAAAACATTTGTTTTATTTGTTTAAAAAAAAGGAATCAAAGAGCCGCAAATAACAATGTATGGCTTATATAGAGACAGTCTAAAGTCGCCAGATTTGATAACATGCATAAGAGTTAGTTGTCCACAGACTAAATTTGGTTGCTCAGATTGTTACCTTCGAAATTAACAATAATAACTACCTGTGTTGGGTCAGCTTTGCATACCGATACTATGGTAGTCAGAACATGAACAGTTATCGAACTGTTACAAGTCAACAAGAAACTTGAGAGAAGCAATGAGATGAAACTTAATTCTTTATTGATCTGGCTGGAAGAAGATAACGATGTCTCCACAGAACGCAGCCATTGCAGGAGTGCTGACTCATCATTGCTAAAGAATAAAAATGAAAGTAAAATGTCAACGTAACTGAAGGTTTGCGATATAAACTCGATTAAATGCTTTTTAGCAGCCATTTTGAAACGTCTCTGTTGCTATTAAATAGCAATAACTGCCAGGCACAAGTTCTGAATATATTTAGGTATGTTGCCTGAAAGTTATGCAAAATTTTAGTCTTCTAGTCAAACGTTTAGATGCTGAATATCCCTGTTTAAAATGTACATTCAAAAATCTCGAGAAACTGCAGAGGGCCACCTTAATTGAGATACTAAAAAAAGCTAGTTTCCAATCAAACCAACTATCCTGCATTTATAGAGCAAAAAATCAAGATTCCATTTGTCTGAGTCCGGGAAGCACAGAAAGACTCCTATTAACCAGGGCCAGGGATATACATACAATAAGTCATCTAGGGCGTTAGTGGAGGGGGTAAAGACTAGTTGCCAGGCATGAGTGGGGTGACCAACTGAATATTAGAATGTATGTTTGTTGGAAAAACTATAAAACTAAGACGGATTGTCAGGGCTTCGAAAAATACACTAAACTTCCAAATATACCCGAGGATACTTAAACCTCGTACATAACCTTCCAAACTAGTTTGCTGCACCCCTCTTGTAACCCTTCGGGCACGCCCAAGCAAACTATTTGCTGGTTTTTACTAAAGGAAATTTTCCTTAGATGCAGCCCGAACAGAAAAATGTACTTCGTTTTTAAGTTCACCAGAACAAAATTGAGAATTTCCCTATTGAACTCAATTTATAAAGTAGGTCTAGGGCAGAGTTGCAAAAAAGCTGCGGGTACGCGTGTACCAGCCGGAGGAAGGTTTGCTTTGAATGAGATTTGTGAGGAAGGTTCAAAGTTGAACACTCTAATTGATCACATGCATGTACCAAAAAACCACATATTTCTTCATGCTGGTTGCCACTTGACTCAATGACGTAACGTCATTTTGAGGAAGGTTTTCAAAACTTGAAATGTTACCGGAGGAAGGTTGAACTCTTTTTGCAACTCTGGTCTAGGGCAATGATATGTACTCCATGTACTTTGTATATATAAATCTGCCATTTACGATGATAAAAGGAAAGTGAAAGCAATCTATCTCACCGGCATAAAATATAAATGTTTTCACAAATACTGCACTTCTTCATTAACTCCCCCCGAGGAAAAGATTCTGCCTGAAATGAAAACACGTGACATATAAAAACTAAATATTACGATCTTCCTTGAGATCTTGACTCCCGTGGAATGACAAAAATCACAAAATCGTGGAATCTACGATACCTAAAATGCCTTGTTTTTTTTTAAAAAGACGACGACAAAGTCAAAGAGAGGGAGAGTCGACGAAATTAGGCCAGGCCTTGCGTGAAACCTACTTCGCCCAGTCAGAGGACGACCTAAGTCGTGGCTTTAGAGACTGACTAAGCATTTTCGGGGTGGAATGTGAAAAACAATAAACAATACAGAGATAATCACAGGATATTAGCCAATATATAATTCTGACCTTGTTTTCATTTGTAAAATTTGTAGATTGAAGCGCATCTTCAATATCTTTCAGAAGTCGAGAAGCAAGAGTGAAAACGGTGGTTTCATTTTCTCGGTGTCTTGATGAGGAGAGAATTTGCAGCAAAGGAAGAATTAAAAAGGAAAGTTTCTGTGTGCCATCGCCACCTTTCGACAGGATGTAATGGGCCAAGTTTGAAGCTGAATGAGAACACAAGATATTATTTAAACAACATGGAATGCTTCTCTACGTCCCCCTAATCTATATAACACTTTTCATACTAGCATCGTTGGCATAATTAACATATTTTGCCTAATCAAGACCAAGATCCGTGACTAGCTACATCAAGATCAAGATCAGTGACTATATCTAGCGAATCAGAGCACTGCCACTGGCAGCGAACAGAAGTCTCAAGATAACAGCAGTGTGATTTCTGTCGAATAGTGCAGTCTGAGCACTTTATAGCATTGAAGGGGCAGATCATTTAAAAAAAACAAGACTCCTAAAGGCCGTTTACCACTTCAACCGTATCGTAGCGAAACGTAGCGTATCTCATTCTTTCAAAGTCATTAGTCCTGGTCGGAATACTCTACGATACGGTTTAAGTGGAAAGCAGCTTAAGACATGCACAGCTATTCAGGATATTCTACTTCTTCCCCTTATTTTCTTACCAGCATGGATAAGTTCTTCAACATAATATCCCGAACAGCTAAGTAAAAGATGAGATATCAAAAACATGGTGCCATTCCCAAGTGGAATCTAGAAGTTCAAAAATAAATTAGTTACCAATTGGGCAGTTTACAGGTGCGGGGGACTGGACAATTCCCTTCCTAGAGGTGACATTTTCTTCATGTTCATAATTCACACATTTTAGTACAGAATTATTAACAGTCCAAAAATCGGAATGCTTAAATTCCTGGTTTTAACTGGCAAGACACCTTGGGGATTCGAATTTCTCAAGAGCATATTAAAAAGGCACTCGGGGATTTAATTTGACAACTAGGAAACATTACCCATGGTTTTCTTAGCGTTATCTTCCTTAACAAAACAAGTGATGACATCATTGACATCCCAAGAGACAACTGTTTGTGTACCATTTCAATGAAGAGTACAGTCATTGCCTTCATATGATTGTCTATGGAGATGTAAAAATATTACATTTCAGTTGAATTTCGGCTCTACACATGGGGGGTATATGTATATCCAGGTAAATAATAGGTCATTGGTTTGATATATTCACGTTCAGTATGTTTTAATTTTATTTTAAAATAAATTGTTCTTGCAGGCAATGAACACGGATATGCGAATTTGCACCACCCCACCCCAAACCCAACAAAGCTGGCCGCCAAAATTGTTGATATTGTTGTATTGCGTGTACTCTCTTTTGAAAGCCTCAGGAACGAGTTTTAGAGTCTTTGCCCATGGGAAATCATTCAAAAATATTTTAATAATCCTCAGAGCCACTTTAAGTGAATAAAGGATCCATGTCCCCATGGCAGGGGTATGAATTTAGCCAAGTGCCCTTAATATGGCAGCATAGGATGTCAAATGGTTATGCTTTAAATTTTCAAGACCACTAAAACTGTATTTCATGGTAAACTGCAAGAGCTGGCAATGTTGGGGTTGAAATTGGGATTTTAGTTCCAAGGTCTCTTGCCAGGCAGACACAATATAACATATAGATAATTGACATGAACAACTGGCCGGGCAAAAACAACAGCTTACACCAATCTGTGCTACCTGATTTTTTAATCTAGATATTGCGTTAATATACATACACACATTCATATGCAAACACTTATACTTACTTAAACTACGTACCAGGGTACTAGAAATCTCAATAGTTTGCAATCTATAAATTTAAACTCTGAGAGCATCCATCTAAAATTAATCTATTTTGCCTATTAATTAAAGACAATTGTCAAAGGTTTTGTACATAATGATAACAAACATGGAAACCCTGACACAAAGTTTGATTATCTGGTTAGTTTTGCCGAGCTATTAAAAGTAACATTAGGCTTTCCGTATTTAACATCATTGTGATTGCCCAAAACAACACAGTTTCATTCGCACATGTTATTAATGTTTCATAGTACGCTCACAATGGCTACATTTCACATGATAATACCAGCCGGGTATCTCATTCCCCTTCCAACCTGCACAACTTAAGCATGGCCTGTATTTTTGCCCATCATTCAGAAGATGAAGTCCAATTTTGCCACATGTTTTACACCTGTGATGTGGTATCTCTTCTCCACCTCTTGCCTTGCCTTTTGCTTCAGGACAAAGGTATACAGGACACCATAATACATCAATCAGGTTCCCTTGTGCATCCCTTATCTCTTTAATCACATGATGCTCTTCTATTTTCAACATCTCCTTTATTACTTTCTCTTTACTTTCAAATTTCAAAACACCTGCTTTGTATTTGGGGCTTGTGCGAGCTGCATTCCTCTCTTGTAAAACATTTCTTGTCGTTGAAGCGGCATCTTTCGTCTCGTGCAATTTTCTTTCATCCTCGGTGGTGTAAATGTTTTCCTTTTCACAGGGAATTTCGTGAGACACATTCGTATCGTGGTACGTTTGAATAATCGCGCCAAAACTATCCCGACGATTAACAATTGCCGCCTTCAAGACATTATTACATCGTGTGGTAATTCTACCTCCAAACATTACTTTATCCGTTGTAATTTCACTCGTTGGGAGGAAAGTATATGATATGTCCAAAATAACAACTTGTAAAATAGGTCTTTGGCGAAAACTATATTTGATTTACGAACTTCGTCTTCGATCCTTCGATCACTGTTCAGTGTTTACACAGAGGATAGGAAATTACTGTGTTTCCACTCCTAATTCTCTTTTCCGCAGAGGTTGAACCACTGAGATTATGGGAATTATTATATATCGCTCAGTGGGTTCACAGTTAATAGAATATACATAGTTTAGAGACTACATTAAGCCTGGTTCACATATGCCTGGGGTAAGCCTGTGACGCACCGCAGGAAAATTGTGCATCCATAATAATTCTCCACCGCCGGTAGCTCGGCGTCACCCCCAACAACAAGCCATTCGATCCTGTCATGTGCTAAATTTAGATAAGGCACAAGTGTATTGTGGGAAAGACTTCTACAGGCACACCGGCGGTGTGTCGGAAGCGTGTTCACATACATAAAAATAATAAAAATGTGCTACGTACACCGCCGCTTTGCCGCCGACATGCCTGGAAAGTTGAACTCGAGTCAACTCTCCCGGTATACCGCCGGCAACTCTTGTGCCTGCCTGAGACACCGGCGATAAACCGGTGCTGAGTGTTCTCATATGCCTTAAGAGCACCGCAGACATACTTCGCAGGCATGCCACAGTCATATGTGAACCAGGCTTTAGGGGGGAAGCGCATTGGAGTGTCATCGTCATCCCCACCGGCAAAATGTAGAATTCTAGGGCTTCTAAAAGTCTGAAATAGGTGTTCCCCCATGCTGGAGGTTGGGGTAACAATAATTTGAGACAATCAAGTGGATAGAAATGGATATTTTATTTGGTCATCTTTCACTATAAGACAATCTCCCTCTCAAAAATTCTTATCGAGATCTGAACGTTTTTGAAAAATGGTTTCTTGAACGATCGCAACCGCCCTTTTTGCCCCACGCTGGAGCCGGTTGTATGAAAGTCGCAAAGCGCTATCCACCAGATAGTGGTTTTTTCAATCGCTTTAAAATCTACCGTTTTGAGTATAACTTTGATTAAATCTTATAGTGTTCCTAAATGGAGGATCCTCTTTAATAATTGCTGATTCCAAAGCTCACATTTTATTGCTTTTCAAGCAATTTTAGAACGGTTGAAAAAATCAATATCCGGTAGATAGCGCTATCCGGCTTTCATACAAACGTCCTCCTTTCAGGTGGCTAGGCCCCTAGTACAAAATGCAATTTTTCACGCAACTTCGAAGTGCAACTTTGAGAGGTGTAAATTTGGCAAATACAAATTTTTCGTGTTCATTACACTCCATGGACGTGAACCTGACGTGTCCACGTTTAATTTACGAATATTAACGTTTAATTTAGGAATATTAAAAAGTGTATACACTGTACTACCGATAAAACACGAACAATTAGTCGATTATCACTATTCCTGCCTGGGTGCGCAGCTAGAACTTATCATTTGGTATGGTACCTGTACGGCTTTCAGATCGATTAAACAAAAGCAAGAAATTTTTGGTTAGTTAGTGGTTAGTGATAACGAAATAACTAGTTTCGGTAACTAGTTCCGATTTGGGACAGGTAAAGGTTTGCACAATCTTGTTTTTCGCTCAGTTGGTTATATGCATTCGTCGAGAAAACTTGTAATAAAAGTTTCGAACAAGTTTTCGTAACCCATCCAGCACTGTTAATTTTGAGGTGCTAAGATAGCACCAGCGTAGGTGCCAAATCAACACATTGCAGTGGTGTTAAATAGAAAGTGCTATTTTGACACCAATTTCGGTGCTAATTTAACACCACCAAATCTGACATTACGCTAAAAGTGCCAATATGACACCTTATAATTTCAGCACCTTTGTAAGGTGCTGAAATAGCACCTGTTTTGCAGACGGAAAGTGCTAAAATAACGCCAGATTGAGAGTTAAAGTATGGGGTGTCAAAATAACACTAAATGGCGGTAAAGAATTTTCGACTTTATTACAAAGTCATCTTCAGACGGAATGGATAGGGAAAGAGCGGTTATTTAAGTTATTGGAAAATAAATCTGTATTTTCGAATCAATGTTTTGGAACAAGAAATTCCTGTGCGTTTTCGCACAACTATTCATCTGAGTGATCTGACGACATGGAAACCCGGCTTGTTCCTATGATACGAAAAAACCAATAGAGACGAATACTAGACAAATGGTACATCGATAATGATGCATTGTCCTTTTCATTTCATCAAACTATGTTATTCCGTGCTATATTTTCGGACTGCCTATGTATTGATTGCTACAAAGTATTTATTTCGCAATCGCCTGATATGTATGTCCATATAAGGAACAAAATATAACACGTGATCAGCGCCTGTATGCAAATTTTGAGCGCGTCGTTTGAAAACTCTTTTGAATCGTATCTCATACTGCCGTGTTGAAGACGTTTGAGCGTATTTTCTTAACTATTTTGGTACTTCTAAATATGCTGAACAGCAACGGACTCACATAAGGAAATATCAAGACAATTGGCTATGATATTATCTCAGAAATATCTTGGTAAGTTGAATTGAATTGAATTTGATCGAGTACGGAGATCCACGTTCGCTCAAACGGCCAAATCGCCAAACAAACAAATGTGTGTTATTTATTATTATAGAGAAGCCAAATGAATATTACTTTCAATACTGCGATGATCTCTTTAGCAATCTGGGTCAAAGAAAATATCATTGCAATAATAGGTATCTATTCATGTTTATTTTTTTTACCGTGATTTTATGAAGCATCTGCGCTAGGCTCTTATATTGATGTAATTTAACGATATTTTATCCTATATTAGCAGTTGACAATTTGTGCCCTATTTGATACATTTGATGTTAGAGAAAGTTTTTTGTTTCATGGAATATATGTGCCTATGTAATATGTCTTTTGATAACATTATTGAGACATAAAATCTCCTACAGGTTACCTGAAAGAACTATTTAATAGCCTGCTGAAAAATTTGAATTCAACTTGTATTCTAACAAATACTGTCAGTCATTCAATTGCCCAGCCATTGATTGTCTTCTATAGTGAGGTTGAATTGTGGACTGATACATTTATCAACTATAAATAAATCTACAATACCTATGATATATTATAATTCTTGTCTATTTTAAGTTTTCACCAAGATTGAATGAAGGCCTCAAATGTGGCAAATTAAGGGGAAACTGTAATTCTAATGATATGACAAGGGTATGAAGGGACATTTACTGTCAACAATGAAAGTGTATACAATTAATGTATCCAACCATGGAAGAAAAACAAAATATTTCATCTATGATAATTTAGAAATATCCCTTCCTTGCTGACTCAATTGTGGTTGTGGAACAGTAAGTGATAACCTTGTTGTTGTAATCTTTATGATTATCTGTGTTTACCAAACATGGTTTCTGTCGACCCTTTTCATCTTAGATTTTGTATTTTGTGTGGTTTGTATTTTGAAAATAATCCGGAAAATCCTGATCCTGATTTTAAAATGTTCCTGAACTAGGGTGTCAGTATAGTTGAATAGTTGGGAGTAGGAAATTGAATCTGGTTGTAGGCATGCTATCAAAAAATACAGTATAACACCTCTATTATACGTATATACCCTTTATTAAATGGATCTGACTTGTTAAACATGATAATTCAATTCATTCTGATACAGGGTTCATGGACCATAACAAGGCCAAGGGTAGAAACAATTTTAGAAGAATATCCTGCACTTCAGCTTATTACAGAGGTAAGTTTGCTTTTAGTTTACAGCATTCATGTTGATATAAGGTACCTGTTGGATTGATGTCAAGTGCTCTATTTCAACACTTTGCCATAATTCTTGTTGACAAACAATCCAAACAGATAATTGACTGTCAAATTTCTTTGTTCGACATAATACCCTACCCCTAACCCTAAGTGTGACAAAACTCTGTGGGCTGATTTTGTTTTTTAAACACTTTTAAAGTCCTCTTTAAAAATATTTGTTATTTATTATAGGTTGTTGATTCCATAGATCAGGACCCAAGGCTAATTCGTTCAGAAGACCTTTCAGATGTTCAAACTTTGATGATTGCGGTGGAGGGGCAAATGTTAACTTATCAAAGAACAGACTCAACTTCATTTTATCTACTAAATATGGAGTACATTGCTGGTGTGGCAAATGTGTGTGCATTCTTGGAAACTGCTCTCGTCGGGAAACCTTAGGACAAAAACTTTTGAAGGACGTTAAGTACCGTAAACATTTTAAACATTCTTGTAGCTACGTAGATTTTCCAGTCACAGCATAAGAAGAAATAAATATTTTTTAATCGCATTTGGTCTACTTCGTATGATTATAGCTTATGCTATTTAGTCGCTCCATTGCTAGCGCTAAAAGTGCAAAAACTAATCCACACAAACTTCAGGTGTTAGATTAACACCAAAAGTAGGCGTCAAACTAGCACCAAAGATCGTGCTAATTTGACACCTTATTTCGCGGTGTCAATTTAGCACCCGAAATGGTGTTATTCTGTACCTTTTTATTTGACACCTTTTTTGGTGTCAATATGACACCGCAAAATTAACAGCTGTCGAACATCTCGGTTTGTGCATCGTTCGTCTCGACAAAGCGGGACTGTTATGCAAGTTTATCTTTTACGATTGTAATTTAGTTAGTTAGCAGTTTATCTTGTATGTGTTAGCCATAGTAAGTGCATGACAAGATTGAGCGGTTTAGGGCATTTCTAGTGCATTTAATATGTATTCATAATCTGTATAGTTCATTATCCTTTCATTGAAGATATAGTTATAGTAGTTTTAGCTGGTATAGTAATTAGAAATGCATGAACTTAGTTTTTATATATTCGTTATTTCAGTTTACGACAACTATAATCGACAATTTTAATGATCCTCGAGTAAGATCGTTTCTTGGTCAAAACTATCAAATTGTTGCCTGTAAATATATCCCTGAATTTGTTTCTTCGAACTCTAAACTCGTCGTGACGTATGGAGGAAGGTGACGTAGGTTCGTGCTATGGACAGTAATGCTGCATTGCAATTTGGCATTTTATTGATCGCTGAATTACTCGTCCACCTCTATAACGTAAGCCCTTATGCTTATGAAAACAACTCAGTTTTAAAGATCCTGGATACGAGGTTATGTTTTAATACATTTATACAGGTTTTCCCTAATACGATTATTTTAAAGGCTCAAAAAGCCTCGCTTTAACAAGCAATGCTTGGTGGTATAGTATCTTGTCTACGGTACATACCAAGTTTCTCACAGTTGTATTTCAAAAACCATCGTAATGTTTGATGACACAATGAAACACTGTGACCAAGTGATTCCATATTGTTCTATTAGATAAAATATTGCATTAATGGCTAAACGCTAAATGTAGCATTTTTTCGCCTAACATACAAAGTTGAGCAATATTTGAAACCTATCAGTTTACCTCACCTTGTAAAATCGAAGATGGTTAGTAATCAATTTCAGAATCCTATCGAATACAACTATATCTTTTCCCTCCATCATATCCGACGATATTTCCAACAACAATACGTGTAAACTTTTGCAAGCGGAGTAATCAGTTTTAGGGTTGAAAAAAACATGTTGGAAGAAAGCTTCAAATATTGCAACAAATGACGAAATAAACCTGTAAATACAAAATTAGCGATTATTATATAATTAAAATATCTTTCCCTGTATTTTGGATACTTTGATACTGTAATACAGTAGTTTGATACCAGATTGACTGATATTGCAAGAAAGGTTTAATAAACCAGTCCATTACGTCATTAGAATGGCATACCGCATTTATAAATATATTACGAGCCTATACCCTCTGTATGGAAGTCAATAAAATGATGCACAAGAAACATTTCAGGAGGCGCGTCTATACGTACGTATCAAAGGAACACTTTATGAGAACTAACGCTAGCGTTAAGATCAAGTTTACAATAGGATCATTGTTAACAATATAACTTAATTGCTGTGTGGGCTGGGGCTAGGGCGGATGCAGAGTGATTCATAACAAAATTTAACAAGCACAAAGATTTACGGAATGGAATATACCAGAACATGGTACTTTCGACTTTGGTAAGGTCAAATATACCGGAATGCAATTTCGATCTTGATGATGTCAAATATTTGGGATGATTGATGGTAATTGTAAGGTCGAATGATCCGTAATATGGTGCATATATACAGGAATGTGGTATATATCAACTTTAGTAAGGTTGAATAAAACCACAATATGAAGACACCTGTAGAGGTGCTGCAGCATAGTAGCATGGAGTAGGCACATTTCTTGGGACTCTACAGGTGTGCAATATAGTTTAACAATAAAGGTGTATATTTATTACACATTACACATGTCATAAAATATCCATCAAAAGATTACCTCTTATTCGTTGTCTGGAAAATATTTTCAACCTCTTGAAGAAGCATTGGCCATGACCAAGGACAGTTAGCCAATATCTTAGTATATGGATGCAGATTTGAGCTTAAAGGTAACAAAACAAAAACGTTGAGGTCTCAAAAAAAAGAATTTCGTTTGGGAGTTACAAAGCATTAAAATTAATCAGTAAGAATGGGTAAAGAGATGCATACAGACAAATGAAGCAATTAAAAAATGCTATGTTTTCATTGTGTAATTGTATGAATTGCTCTAGCAAAACATTTTCACTTTCATATATGTCAGTTAACCTATAACATTATCAATATTTACCTTCAATAATTTACTTTTCTTACTATAGTCGGCTACAGTAAGCCGTAAGGTTGTTCATGTAACAGTTTGAATGAGACTGGATCAGGTAAACAAACTACCCACATACAGCATAATTTAAGGCCGGCCATTTAAGGGGCTTAAATTATACTTTGGAGAAAGCCTACTAGAATCATGCAGCACTGGTTCAAAAAAATTATGGAGTACTTAGAAATTTTATAGTCAGTGTACTAAATAAACATAAATATTGGCATATGACTTCCTCTTAAAACTAATGCAGCCATAATTTACACACACAGTAATTTATGGTGACTCACAATGCATCGACTTATTGCGTAGTCAAGGTACCTACTACACTAAAAGTTACAATTACTAAAAGTGTTCCACTAACCTCAAATTGTATGAATCAACTTCTATAGTGGACTTCACTTGAAAACATAATAACTTTATTACACCACGAATTGGTCCAAGGATATGCCTGAAATTAAGATAGTTAGGATCTTATAAATTTCAACACTTTAGTTAAAAGGCTGAGAAGTTGGCCATTTTTAATTAAATCTATATACCTTGTTGACAAAGTTTGAGCCACAAAACCATGCATAACATAGCTAAAATCCAAAACATTCTTCACAACCAGATGTACCAAAACATCAACAGCCGCAAGTGAAATAACACAACATGGATCACAGCATTTAGTCCACAGTTGCCCAACCTCTTTAATCTGTTGGCACTTTATCATAAAATATAAAACTTGCATAAACCTATTGAACCATTTTGTAATCATTTTCAAGATGCCATATCAAATTTATATATAATATATAAATTATATCTGTATATAAATTATATCGGTATAATATCTGTAAAGTGCCCTATTTCAAACCTCTTTATCTGACAAAGCATGCTTTCTAGACGTCTTTTTGCTCAATATGATAGGTAGAAGCTGCCAAACAACCTGAAAACATAATTAGGTTAGGTAGTATACATATAACAAAATACCATCCTGTTCTGTCCAGCACCATGTGAGTTAATTTATGACTGCATGATAAAACAATTCTGCGCGCCCCTTCCCTTCGCACAATGTGTTGATGACAAAATAGCTAAGATAGTGTTTTAATTTCCACCGCTGCAGTTTGGTATATCATTTATACTTGTTCATTTAACTTTTTACAGGGGGCAGGGTCATTTTTGGGTGCTCATGCACCTATGGCATGCACACAAAGTGTTTATATGCATGAAAATTTTCATATCCTAGCTATAAATTTGGTTTCTGAAGTGAGAATCTTTAAAAAAACTCTCTATAGAATAATCTGGCTTTATCTCCATTTTGGGGCAAGACCACCTATAGAAATACCAATTAGTTTCATCTATCTTTAATATAAGACATTTATATAGATAATACCACATTTGGATGATTTGGTTGAATATAGTAATCCTACTAATCCATATACAGCAAATTGTAGTACGGCAAATAGCTATTCAAATTTAGGCAGCATATAATTTTCCGCGTAAAATAAATCATACCTCTTAAAAATTCTCACCTGTTCTTGTATCAAATTGTTCGGTAACTCCATAATCATTCATCAGCCACATACAATTTTAAGACCTTTGCACTACCAACGAGCGCTTTTAAGCGATGTTACATAACGTTTCGAAAGAGCGAAGATGACGCTGATTCGTGTGTGCCAGGGCGCTTCTTCTGTGCGAACATCTGTGATCTGTGATACGGAAAAAACGGCCAGACCGGTCCTGTTGTAGTTTGGTACAGACAGGTTACTGGTATTTTAGAGTGTTTCAAGAACTCTGCATGCAAATATATAGTTATTTACATCTGCCTAGCACGAGAAATGCATTTTCACCGCTATATATTCTCCGTTAACGAAATACTCTATTTAAATTTAAAAGTATGACCGGTGTCACAGGAAATTTGGCCTCCCCGAAAATTTGGCCCCCCCGGGCCAAATTTCCTAGGAAATATGGCCCCCCCGGGCCAAATTTCCTAGGAAATTTGGCCCCCCCTTCGGAAATTTGGCCCCCCCTCTAAAAAACACAGTTTACCTTACCATTTTAGAGCTAGAGATAACCGTTAAGAGTTTAAAAGTTTTAATTTATTAATTAATTTCATTACTGACCGAATTCTGATAATAAAAAAAATATTTTGCGATTAAAAAGTTTTTTTATTATTTCCTAAAGTTCCATTTACTACAATATTCCTAAAGAACTATGAATTACTAATTGCACACGAATGTTAGGAATGTATATAGACTAAGTTCTATGTATAAAAATTACAATTACAATTAGGTCACTTAATTTTATTTACAAAAGCGGCGCACATGACTGGCAAAGCCAATCGTCACTTTCGCCAGGAGCTTGGCTCAAATTGGTACATGCTAAATGGTACCACATGTCACAAAGGTCGCATTGCACCATATCACCACATTCTGGCAACTGACAAACACAATGAGTTTGTATGGATAACAGTTTTTCGTTGTTTTTGCCCATGGAAAGCACGCCAACATAAATTTGGTGCTTCTAGTCTTGTTCAGAATATCTAAATCGATTTACATTTGTGTAGCTTTATATATTTGAGTTTCGAGCTGTTCCGTTCAAGACTTAGCCTGCAACGCAGACTATATATTGGGGTATATATACCCCAATATATAGTCTGCGTTGCAGGCTATTCAAGACTCTGTATTCTTAAATATATAACGCTAGACACGTGTAGATAATCTAGATATTCTGAAGAAGACTCGAAGTACCTAGTCGAAAGCTCAATAAAAAACCCTTTTTGTGTTTTCACATTTCTCTGTTTGACTTACCGTAAATGATCGATTAAGCGCCGCGGCGCTTATTGCAAATATTGATTTAAAGACGTGGCGCTTATTTGACATCGGCGCTTATTCGACAGCGGCGCTTATTTCAAAGTGAGCAAATACTTTATTTTCTGAAGGCCGATCAGCCGATGAATCGAATAAACTTTTGGTAGAGGCTACAGGGAAAAGAAAGAATTGTCATATGAGCCCGGTTGTAAGAGATATTCGACAATAAACCTTTAAAGTGTCAATACTGGCCGTCGTTCTCAAATGTTAGAATTAACGCGTTTAAATAAAGAATCGTTTATTTCTACATTTTTTGCGTCTATTTATATCTTCCTAAATAGGCGCCGCGGCCCTAATTCAACAGCGGCGCTTATTAAATTTTTTTATTCCGGTGCGGCGCTTATTCGAGTAGCGGTGCTTAATCGATCATTTACGGTATGCGTTATAAATTTGCGCAACTTTTTTTTAGTAGTTTCACCTTTAGATGAGATTAAATTATAATCACACAGTCGGGTCAATTGCATAGAAAAATTGGACTCAGGTCCAGGCGATATCAAAGTGCATCAGGGGCAATGAGCATCGCGTGAAAGAAATATATGGTAGTCGTCGACAATAAACTAGGAACTACTACAATAATAATAAAGAAAAATAAATAGCGGCGATATTCAATCGAGCAGCATGAAAAGAACTGTTTATTTGTTCCTCTTGGAGGAATTGCCGTATCATGCGAGCGAAATCGAATCGTGCACGGGACGTAAATAAGTACGGTCACATACACTTTACACACTTGCCACGATAAAAAAACGAGGCGAATTTTCAACTCCGTCGCTGGCGCCGGAGTAGAAATAAAAAATTGGAAAAAGGCAGTTTTATGGACGCTTCTTTGGCAAACGTGAAAGATAAGCTAGTCGTGGTAAAGAAGCTTAGACGGGAGAAACACAAGAAGGAAAGACATATATATTTATATAAGGAAATCACATATAAAAATCGTTTTCCTTTTTTCGCGTTTTATCTCCTCATCCGTATTTTCCCATCCGCATTTTTTCCCATCATCCGTATTTTCCCATCCGCGTTTTATCCCCTCATCCGCATTTTCCCATCCGCGTTTTATCCCCTCATCCGTATTTTCCCATCCGCGTTTTATCCCCTCATCCATTATTTCCCATCCGCGTTTTATCCCCTCATCCGTATTTTCCCATCCGCGTTTTATCCCCTCATCCGTATTTTTCCATCCGCGTTTTATCCCCTCATCCGCATTTTCCCATCCGCGTTTTATCCCCTCATCCGCATTTTCCCATCCGCGTTTTATCCCCTCATCCGTATTTTCCCATCCGCGTTTTATCCTCTCATCCGCATTTTCCCATCCGCGTTTTATCCCCTCATCCGTATTTTCCCATCCGCGTTTTATCCCCTCATCCGTATTTTTCCATCCGCGTTTTATCCCCTCATCCGTATTTTTCCATCCGCGTTTTATCCCCTCATCCGCATTTTCCCATCCGCGTTCTATCCCCTCATCCGCATTTTCCCATCCGCGTTTTATCCCCTCATCCGCATTTTCCCATCCGCGTTTTATCCCCTCATCCGTATTTTCCCATCCGCATTTTCCCATCCGCATCTGCCATCCGCAATCCGTATCCGCGTTTTATCCCTACTCATACATAAACTACGGCGTGACGTTAGTTATTAGAATACCGACTTCTTGAGAAAATAAGAAGAACTTCCATGTTTTGAGCAAAGGGAAAAGACGTACATCCGGTAGTTTTGGTAGAAATGAACAAAATGATCTGGTATAGTGTAATCTTGACCGTAATGAATATAATTATATAGTTTACTTTCTACCGACACTGCATGCATTTTTCCATTTACTGGTCATATATTCACTGCAAATAAATATTAACATTTGATGAAAGATGCAAGTTATGGCTATTCAGTATTGTTTAAAAATTGACCTCATGCAGCTATGTTTAGGCTATACGCCACTGCTTTCGTTATTGTTTTACTTAACAGTGGATATCACAAACAGCTTAAAAAAGGTAACGTGATAAATGCGAATTGACACCATTATGAAAATCGATACGTTTGTTGCCAGCTGCAAGTTAATATTTTCAAATTTTGCAGCTAACTGTATAACTCTTGTAAACTTAATTGTGTCGTCTTTCAATAGAAAACAATCAGGGAACTAAAGTCAAGATTTTTTTATGTGGCATTTAATTTACAATTGTAATTTCGTTAGATGAGTTTGCCAACGTATCATCTATTTCAATGAGGTAAAAAACGAAAGTTCAGTCATGCGTTTATAAATAGACTGGCTTAAATCTGGCCTATATAGTATAATAATAATTATATTGAAAGAAGTTTTTTACTTCTTTACCTATTAATATAGAAGGTAAAGATTTTACTATTTTACTCATACGACCGCACAGATTTTATGGCAACATAATTTATGAGAGAATATAAGAGATACCGTCACAGACACATTGAGGTTTGGAGTTGTGTTTATAGCAGTATTAATCCCCAGGTTTTGGTTTCCTGAATAACAAAGTTTATTTCTGAATGGCTGGCCATGGTGCTTTGGAAACTGACCCAATTATTGAAATGAAAAAAGAACTACAATGTACCATATGTCTGGAACCGCTAAAAGACCCGAGAACTCTTCCTTGCTTCCACTCATTTTGTAAAGATTGTTTAGAAGGCGTTGTGCAAACATGTCGTCAGGAAGCACCCCAAGGAAAACTATTCGAGACTTTCCGTGTCCAAATTGTCGAGAGATGTTCACACTCGATCCGGACAAACATGTCGCCGACCTGAGAAGAAGTCATTTCGTCTGCAACATGACAGCTGCACTAAACAAAGATCTTGTCCTCGGTAAAATTGTAAAAGAAGATGCAATGGACGGTATTTTAACTGCGGGGAATGTCGTTGTTCAACGATTAACAAGTACGGCGGACGAACATGATCGAGACTCACAGATTGGCAAAAGTGAAGTTGTACAAAAAGACGAATTAATGGACAGGGAAGTCGTTGAGACGTTGAAACTGGCTGAAACGAATGTAAACGAAGTACATCAGATTCAAAAAGGTGAGTTGGCAAAGTTAAACGAACCGGATCAGAAAACAAAAGCCGTATATGTAAAAAATATGGATAGAGTGAATAATCTACACAAATATAAGGTCTTTTGTGAAAAGAATCTTGTATTACACAGTTAGAAAATTTTGAATATGGATAATCATCCAATTCCCATTTCGCGGGATTAAAAAACCCTGTATCCTCTGGTAAATTCAGAGGATCACAAGCAGTTGCGGCCCAGGCTAACTGTGTATGCATGCGCTGATCAGCTGATGCATGGGCTCTATGTCAAAAACTTAAATAAGCGTACAGTATTATATATAGTGTTATCTAAACATTTTCTCAGGTAAAGAAGAGCGTCCAAACACGACAGGTTTCGTTACAGCGATTGACAGTGACTTATATGACTACCTGAAACAAAATCATGCTGCCCAGCTATCCTATATGCCTTGAGAGAACCACAGCCGAGCATCGAAATGAGAGGAGATTCGGTACATTTCTCATTTTCCAGCGAGGAAACAAAAGAACACTTTCTAACTTGTCTCAAAAAATACAAATACGAAATCGTACCGATTAAGCCTGCTCTGCTCGAGCAAGGGTTAAAGAAATTATTACAGAAAATATTCTTGGAGTTCAACAATGCTAAATCAGTTTCCTTCATCGAGAGATATGATGAAGGTTTCTTAAAGCTTGTCGGAAGAGCAATGTCTGTGTTTATTACGGCCCACGAAGAGGTGAAAAAGTGTGTTGCCAAAATCGAAGAACGAACGATTCGACACGAAGATACGATAGAATTATTAGCTGTTCATCTGAAGTTGCTTCAACGCTCGACTAAATTTCAAAGGCAAGTATTTACCTATATACAGTAAGTAGCATTATAAATAACTGACTTAATCTATTATATGGCTTTTCAAAATTCTATATTCTGATTGGTTGACGAGCCGTCCGTAAAACCAATATCCGGACCCCTTGTATATGGACCAGTATCCCAGATGTCTCATGCACCCATATAATAAACAGATTATTTACCTCGCTTGTCTGGACTGCGAAATATCAGACCGAGGCTTTTTGCATACTAAAGAGCCTCGGTCTGATATTTCGCAGCACAGACCTAACTCTCGGTAAAAAATTAGTTATTATTATATGGCAAGCGTCATTTCAGGTGAAATGGAGCTCAGTAATTGGCTGAGAAGAATTTTCAGTTGTCTATTACTTTCCCGCCGGCGTTACCGGCGTTCCATTCCGAGATGAAAAACAGAGAAATTCTGAATGAAAAAGGCACAAATAAATGTTCAAGGGAAAATTTAATTTACTGTGAAATTAATAATCTCCAGACAGTCTCCAGACGGTTTAGGTAGACTATAAATAATTCACTGATATTATGTTTTTGTTTTTTATCAAATGCGTACCAGGCTACTAATACGAATTCATGCATTTCTTGTTTGTTTCAAGTGCATGCAAATACATTCCTTATGCCATATAATAAACTTTTTATTAGCCTCGCTTGCTCGGTCATTACCGAGAAATATCGGATATCAGATATTTTTGTACAAACTTCGCTCTTCTAGCTCGGTCTGTTCAAAAAGACCTCGGTCCAATACTTCTCGTTAAAGACCTCGCGCATGCGGTATTTAAGAAATAGAAAACATTCTCCGTGTTTCTATACAGTTTTAGTATACACCCGACTATTGTCTATTACAAATCCCACATTCTGATTGGCTACTCAACCATTGTCTATTCGTGATGGTGAACTTTTGGCAAAAATTCGGTTGCGCGACCATATAAAATTGAATTAATTAAATTATTTTTCGGTTTTATATGCAGTGTATCGATTATTTTCTCGAAATTAATATATCTAGGTACATGGTGTATACTAAGACAATTACACAACTCGCCTTCGTTGTCTATGAGCGAATAGTCAACTCAGGCGTCGCCTTTTTGACTATTCGCTCATAGACAACTCAGACTCGTTGTCTAATTGTTAAATAGAAACACGCTTCTCGACCAATCAGCACGCGCGTACTATAAATTAATGTCATATTATAAAATATAACAATTGACGACTTGAGCTTTAACCTAACTTTTGATTGAAGTAACTAGAAAAAAAAAATCACCAGCTAGAAAGATCTTACTCAGATTAGTGCATGCAAATGTAAAGTTTGGCTGCGAAATTCTGTAAAATACGAAAAATGTAGCCCTATACGAAGTTAGCAAATTTTGTATACTTTTGCATCCTACGTGCCGAAACGTGTAATTAAATTAGTTACACACTTCCGGCTGTAATACAAAAGTATACAAAATTCGTGAACTTTGCATGGCTATACAAGCCTATATTTTCCGTAATTTACAAAATTCGCAGCCAAAGTTGGCAGTTTTACTAATTTTAGTAAGCTCTTTCAGAAAATATCCTTTTTTCACCGACGTAAGAAATTAGTCTAAAGCGCAATTCGTCCATTGACTGAGACTTTTTCCGCGTTATTTGTTTAGCTTGGAAACTTCGTCAAAGCGAGAGGGCTTGGAAATAATAAAAGACGAAAAAACGGAAAGAATAACCGTGAAAGGCTCACAAATCCAAATAGAAAATTTTAAAATTGAAATGGAAGAAATTGTTGACCTTTTTGAACAACGTTCCTTGAATGAAAACAGATTTTCCTTGTTGAAGGCAAACAAAGCTATCTCACACGTAAAGTCGTTGTTGACCGCAGAGAATGTCACGGCGGAAGTTGTAGTCGATAAACAAGGAATGGTAACACTGTATGGTATGCAAAAGACACACGTGGACGGAGCCTACGACATTATTGTGAATGCCATGGTTGAAATAAAACTCTCTGAAAGTAGCGTGTAGTTCTGTAATGTTTATTGTGAATCTTCGCTTATGAATCTTTCAACATAAACTAATGAGTCCAATCACGCTTCACACCTCCCCAATTCTATACCTTTTGTTTCAGGTTTGAGAACGAAATCATCCCAGGATGCATTGCTCAACGAGTTGGGAACATCGACTCCGCTCACATTACCAAGAGAAGATAGCGTTCCACGAATCATCTGTTTTAAAAAGCATTTGGGAAACCTGAACGAGAAAATCGACAATTTTAAAGAACAAAAGAAAACAGTAGAACAAAGAGTTCCACTTCAAAATGCAGTTCTACGCTATCTCTGGTTTTACGGGCGAACTACCTTAGAAGGCTTGCGGCTTTCATCACCAGACTTGAAGATAGAGTTTGAAAGCGAAGCCTTGGTGCTATCTGGTGAGAAACTGGTAGTCGAGAATTGTTGTATTAGCATACAAGATCTTACAAAAGGTTTGTAATACATTTTTTTTAGTACAGGTGGTGCTGATCTGATAAATCACTTGCACAACAACAGGCTCAGGCTGAAACTCTGAGTTATATACATGAACTCTCATGCATATGTAATATTTATCTCGCGAAGCATTTAGTATACTAAGGAATACCAACAAAATTCCTCGGGTATCGTTTAGCCATTCTCAAAGCACTATTCTGACTAGAGAATAAGATTTTAACTAGTCAACTGCAAATTGCGCGTGACAAGGTTTGGAGGTCGGGTTTTCGCATAAGCAATGCTTGCTATTTGGAGAAAGGGTATATCCTAAATGCTGGCTACGCCGCGCTAATTTTACGCAAATGACCAACAATAAAAACTTGTTTTCAGATCTAAAGGTGCAGAAGATAAATTACGGAACACCGGAAACAGCGTCGAGTATAAAAGGAATGGCATACATGGCAATTGAGAGCATCGAAAGAAAACATCGATGTGGGATTGCAGTCACACTCAACGATCAGCCAGGAAGACACAGTTCATTCCAGTTACAAAATGCAAGCACTGTTAGTATCAAGGAGGACAGGAAGCGTACAATGCAATGTCGATACACCTTCCCAAATGGTAAGATCATTGAGGTACATCAAGGCGACATCCTCGACCATGCCGTAGACTACTTGGTGAACTCTGCCAACGACGAGCTCAAGCACTCTGGCGGACTTGCCGGGGCGATAGTTGAAAAAGGAGGGCGTAAAATCCAGGGGCCGGTTGTATCAAAGGCGTTTAAGCTAAACGGCGTTTAGCTCCTATCCACCGTATAAATTTATTATCCGGCGGATAGTTAAACGCTCGATAAAATTGCGTTGTATGAAGGCCGTTTAGTACAGCGTTTAACTAACCTGCGGATAACTTTAAATTTATCCGGAGAAAACTGGAGAAAACCGGTTATTCCCGGTGGTTGCTAGGCGTTGCTATGCGTCCGAAGCGCGGGAAATTTTGAAAGCAAACAATGGAGGCTAAGCGAGCGAGAAAACCAAACTTTTCCGCCGCGGAATGTGCTTTAATTCTTCAGCTTGCTGAGGAAAATATCAATATCATCCGCGATAAATTTTCAACAACTGTTTCAAACAAGAAAAAAAGCGAAACTTGGCAAAGAATATGCGATCGGGTGAATGCGCTTGGGGTGGCGAAGAGAACTCCGAGTGAGTTAAGAGAGAAGTGGCGGGGGATGAAAGGCGAAGCGAGAAAAGACCTTGGAAAAGAAAAAAATTCTCACAAAAAAACTGGAGGTGGAAGACCTCATCAGCCGTTGAAGCCAACAGTCCAGCGAATACTTGAGTTGTTTGGGGATGAACCTAGCTTTTGTGGGATACAAGGGGGGATTGAATCAGGTGAGTGGTGTCATGCGCATAATATTACATAAATCAGTGAAATATATGAAGAGAAAGGCGAGCGTCATTGTAAACGTTATTTTATGTCATTTAAAACGCATATTTTGAATATATCGGCTATAAGTATGGTAGTTTGGAATGTTTAAATCTCTAAATGGCTTACAAAAGACGTACGTCGCATAGTATCTTCTTTCGACAGTGGAAATCCCTACTTTATACGTCGGTCGTGAGGGTCTGAAAGATTTCACTTGATATGTTCATATGTTTAATATAAACACACACATATTTTTCAAAGATAAGTACATTTGTATAGTTTTTAGCTATAATTTTTACATTCAGTAGTCAGTGGCCGGTACTGCATTTACATATTGACACAGGTATTTAGCAGTTCTCAAATATGGTGTTCAATTTCTAGTTTCTTGTAGTCAAATATTGTTTGATTTTTGTAGGAACAAATACAAATTGGGATGCCCTAGATGATCATACCATGGAGCTCCCTTTTGCTGAGGCATGTTCAAGTCTCCCTATTCTCCACCTGCTGTTGGTGATGTGCCACCATCATTTCTTGAAAAGATTCCACTACCAGTGGTAACAGTCCCTCACCAGCAACTGTTACAACACCTCCTGCAGATGGTGCAGCACTATTACTATTACAACACTGCATGAAGCAGCAAACCCAACCCTACAAGCATCTGGCTCAGGAACACTTCCTGCAGAAGACCCAGATATACAGGTAATTGTGGATCAGCCACCCACCAAAAAGCAAAGAAAAGTGACCACACAGGACATCCAATTAGCACAAATGGATGTCCTTATATTGGAGAAGAAGAAAATTGAACTAGAAGTTCAAAATTTAATGCTAGTTCAGGAAAAATTAAGGCTGGAAGTTGAGATGTTGAGAGTTAACACATCATTTGAAAATTGAACAACAATGGTTATTGTTTATTTATTTGTAACATAACATTCATTTGCAAATATCAAGCAGGCTAAATATAAGTGAGTTTTCACCAGCATTAATATAAGAGGCTTTTTACAAATAATAATATAGTATAATACTGAATAAAACTCACTTATTTTTAGAGGAAT